GAACGCACCGCAGCACTGCGTCATCCAGTTCATGCGGCCGATTAGTTGCTCCAATCACAAGAATTCGATCCTCAGTACTACTGGTAGCACCATCGAATTGTAACAAGAATTCCGTTTTCATTCGTCTTGAGACTTCAGTGTCCTTCTCGGTACGATCGCAAAGAATCGAATCGATTTCATCTATAAGGTTGAGATGAAAAGCGTCTATATATCTGGAAATAACAGGAGATAAACTTACCAATAAAAATGATAGATGGTTGAGCATTTCTGGCTATTTGAAATAAGCATCTAATTGTTTTCTCTGCATCTCCAACCCATTTTGATGTTAAGCTTGCAGCTGAGATGTTAAAAAATACTTGGCGAGCCTCAGAGGCAACAGCTTTCGCCTAAACATAATATAGAAACTGCTACAAACATGCACCACATCGGCTGACAAAAAAAAGGAGCAAATGCATGACTATGCAACGTGTACTGACAACACAACGTCAAAAAATTCGGTAATAAAACTCACAAGCATAGTTTTACCATTTCCTGGAGGACCAAATAACAGGATTCCTTTTACAGGTTGCCGTAAGCCACTGAACAGTCCAGGATTCAAAGCAGGCAATATCACAGCCTGAAATACCAATTTAATAAAAAAACGTGGAGTGAAAAAAAAATTGGAGGAAGTTAAAATAAAATGGGTCAGATAATATGAAGTACGAACAAGTTTGAATGCAGTTTCCAAGGAGTCGAGAAGCCCAGCTGAATATAGTAAATCCTTACCTCTTCAAGGGCTTCTTTAGCCGATTCACAGCCAGCCACATCAGAAAGCCTAACTCCAGTGCGATCAAGCATTTCATCGAGGAGTCGCTCTCCAAATTTAGCGTCGACACCTTTTAATAATTGTTGGCGGGTGGGAATAGTCGCACCTACAGTCTGGAGTCGACCCTGAAATACGTAATAGCAATGTAATAGCAAAGAAAGAAGCTAAATGAAAGTGCAAATGATAGATGTAGGAGGATTCTGTTCAATTCTTGCAACCCTCATACACAATCTTCCCGCAAAATCTAACGATTCAATTATT